GAAACACAATTCCTCTCATAATGGACGGAAGACACATGGAAATTTGACAAACAATAAATTTTTATTCCTTTTTATACTCGCGGTTTCTATAAAGTGGTATATTTCCATATTTTTAGTGGGTGTTCTAGTTAACCAAACAAAAGAAAATGAAAAGAAAAAGTCATTTAGAGTTTTTCTTTTATTTTCATTTATAAGAATTTTTAATGGGCTACACTAGAGAGATTTAGAAGGTGTTTGGAATAACTTTTTTTTTTTTAAGCTATGAGTTGTGTTGGCCTTTAGCTTTTGTAAATAAAAAACTTTACTAAACCTACATGACCAAAAAAGTTATTTGCTTAGTTAAATTTAGCTTATTTAAATAAGCTCATAATTTGGTATTAAAAAGTTAGGGGAGTAAAAAAAATTTAGATTTTGCTTAAAAGCTAGCTTGCATAAGGTGCCATCAAATATGCAGATAGAGGTAAGCTAGCTTAAAAGCTACTTTGACCAAAAAAGAAAAATAAAACCATAAAACCCTTCGTAATTTTTTTGTTTGAAATTTTAGAAATATTTGTTAGGTCTCGTGTTATAATGATTTACAATCACCATTATTGATACTAATTGCTTGTCAAGTGATCCTACGCAGAATGTATTTATCAAGCAACATAGTGCCATTTATTGGAGGATGGATGAATTTGCACCATAACGATGATATTTGTGGAGGTGGAGGCAAGTTGATGAAGAAGCCATAAAAAGCTCAAAGATCGAATCACGCGAATACCAAATAAAGAAGAGCTTTTAAGTATATATTCAAGAAGAGCTTCATCAATAAATCTTAGCAAATATCGTCGCTTAAGTATTATACTCAATTGTAAGCGGTATTTGTATTTTTTTACTTCTCACTAGATCATAACGTAGGTAAAAAATAAAGTAGATAACTTTTGAAGCAATTGGGGATCAAGCACACACACTCATATTTTTGACGATTTTTGTAAATCAATAAGTTTTCACAAATTCGAGTTCTCCCAAGTTTTACTATTTTTGAAGTTGACTTAATATTTTAAATCTAATTTAGAAAATCAACATTTCTGGAAAAATTAAATATCTCATATGTCAGTTTTTTGGTTGACTGGTTTTCCAAATCAATCGACTGTCCAATAGCAGGTTTTCAGCACCTACAGAGGCCTCGCGATCAGTCGACTAATACAAGCCAATCAGTCGACCGATACGAGCCCATCAGTCGACCGATACAAGTTCATCGGTCGACCGATAGCGCTGTTTGATTTCTAATCTGCCCAACGGTCGACTGGTCGGTTGACCGATTTCTTCGACTTGTCGATCGATGGCGCCGCCAATTAGTAATGGCTAGTTTGCAGGTTTGCAGTTTTTCTTTTTTTGCGGGATTTGCTTTGGTTTTTGTTTTTCTTTGGATTTAGGCTGTTGTCTTGAGAAACTATAAACACCCCTCAGCTCTCATATATTGTACCAACTAAGAAAACAAAGAGAAAAACTTGAGTTTTGTTTTTTGAGACTTCTAAGCTTACATTTTCATCTTATTCTTAAGTTCTCAAGTTCTTCAAGTTTTCGGTTTTCACTTTCACATCCCACAAACCCCTGAGCTTCAATCGTTTACCTCTTCAAATTGCTATAGGATTGTTGTAAGAGAGAATTTTTCTTCACCTTGTATTGTGTGGTGAGCTAGATCTCGAGGAGATCATTATGTGGAGAGTTCGATCTCAGGGAGATCATTGTGAAGAAGATCCGGCTTCTAAACCGGGTTGTGTAGTGGATTACCATCGGGAGAGGTGGTCGGGGACGTAGGTCGAGAGGACCGAATCTCGTGAACACATCGTCGTCTCACTTGGCTAACTATCTCTAACTCTCTCTTTTAAATTATTGCCTTATTACTATAATTGTGCCTTAAATTGCATTGAATTTTCATTAGTCACACATTATTGTTTGATTATCCTATTCATCCCCCCCTCCCTAGGGAAATTTTAATATTTTCTCTACTTTACCGATTTAGGAATAGCTCTACTACAAAGCCCTCTCGACCCCTCTCGACTCCCGGGTTGAGAGGAGTCCGGATCCTTTACAACCTCAGTTGTAGAGAATATCTACAATTACTTGTGTGAGCTAGTATTATTTGTTCGTCTCGGTAAGTCCCAATAGTGATTTTTTTAACATAATTTAGATAAATAATATAATTTATGGAGTTTATTGAGTAAATATAATTTATTGATAGATTATAAAGTTCCTCTAAGGTTTAGCATCTCCACTTATGGTTTTGAGACTTTATAATAGTTTCTTTTTTAATGGTGGGTTACTTTTGGGGGTGAAAATAGCATGGGGGGGCTTTTAATGCCTACAGATGTGGCGCTTTTTCTCTTTCGGCTGTCGGAAATGGATCCTGAGATGTCGGCGGGTTATTTAAGCCGTTCACCGGAGAGCACGGTAGTCGATCAACTATTTTGCGTCGAGATTCGTGCCTACAACTCAGACAGGAAGAGGGTGGCATCGACTGTCCTGGGCCCACCCTTGATCCATAAATGCGAACTTTTCGGGTTGGGAGACCACAGTATTATATATTGGATTGGGATCCTCTACTCATGCATAGTGATTCCTAATATTTGCTAATGCATCTCCACCCTTCATTGTGTGGACCCCACCTTCCACTTTGTACTCATCCACACAATGAAGGGTGGTGATGCATTAGCAAACATTAGGAATCACTATGCATGAGTAGAGGATCCCAATCCGATTCGGACCTCATTTACAAACGATTGTTTGATGGTTTAACGCGTGCAACTTTTATTGGAGGGGATGGAGTACTACTAATTATAGTATTTTCTTTTGAACTTTAGGACATACTCTTGGTTGGGAGTATGAACTGTATTTTTTGTAACAACCACTTTGTTTTCTAATTTAGCTGGCTGAAATACCTTTGGGGTATTCCATCCTTTTTCTCAAAACTTATTTAGTGACAGCCACAGGGTTTGATGTAGAAAATGTATAGCTGGTTATTATTTAGTAACTTAATCAATAAAACTTTTTAATGCAGAATTTTGAGGATGCTAGAACATTATAGCTGGAGCATAATAAACTGATTCAATAAATTACAGAAAGGGGAGATAATAATGGAACTCACATTTATTTCATTTAAGATTCAAAGCAATGCTGCTTCCAAAGAGCACTCGTCATATTGCTTGTGTACTTTGCAAAGATTAACGACGCGATTTGACCAACGGTACATTTTCAACGAGTAACTGAAGCCATTATTATTTGTATGTATGTATATTTTAAAGACAAGGAGGTGCGGGTGACTTTTTTTTCGTTTTGGCAAAGCGGATCTCCCCATTAGCATTGCTTTTGGGCCTTTGTTTTAAAAGCCCAAACGCTTCAATTCTAAACCCAATACCCAGGAACCCTTTTTTCGACTGATCAACTGGATGACGTTTCACCCTCCTCCATCTTGAATTTGATAACAATTTTTTTTAAAAAAAAACATGTTTATGGGGGGCATCGGGATAATGATTGTTACTAATAAAGATACGGTTTTTCTATAGAGTGCCCATGGACACTCTATAAAAGAGGAGAGAGATAGAGAGAAATGAATGAGGAGGGGGTCCCCTGATTTGCATTGGGATCCTCTTCTCATTCATTTATCTCTATCTCTCTCCTCTCTTATAGAGTGCCCATGGGCACTCTATAGAAAAACCGATAAAGATATTGCTCCAAATTTCATCCATTCCCTAATTAGCAAGTTGAACATTAATGCATTGCAAGCTCTCTGTTTTTTGGTTCGTTAGATTTTTCTGAAGTTGTTGTTGAGGGATGACCAGAAGTTTGTCGACCAGGATTAATTCTGAACGTATGCACCTCCTCCGTCTGCAGAGCTCGGGGGGTCTTGAGATGGTCGAGCCTGTTGTTGTTGATCGATTCGGCTCGAAGCACATTTAATTCTTCCTAGATTGATGCTATTACTTACAATTTACTGGTTGCCGGTGCCATTGTATATTGTGTAGGCGGCCACTTCCTTTGCTAGTTTGAATAGATGTGTCATTGTTTATTTAAGCCTGGACGCTTCAATGATGCCTAGAGCGCATTTGAGAATGCAATCGAGGTGAGCGTTCCGCCTTCAATAATTACACTACATCACACTACTTCGAGGTATGCGCAAAAGCCGAGTATGCAATGGATGCTCTTTAGACTGTTTAGGGATCTGCCAAAGCACGGGTTCTCTGCACGTACAGCTGGTGACCTTTGTAAATGTGGTAGTAGGTTAGCTGAAGCAAAGACTGATCCTAAAGGAATTAAAGGCTCCAAACTCCATAACTGATACAGCAGCGATGAAGTGCTGCTTTAGCTTCGACGAGGATATCAGGTTTACACTTCTGATGCCTTTGCCTACTGTAAAGAGTAAGCAAGTCCAATGGTCGATATGGGTAGAACTCGAGAGACCTGAACTTTTGTTGGGGCGAATGTTCAAGAATGGTGCTGCACTTGATGTACGTAACCGTGTTATGACACTCTAAATCTCTATGTCCTGTAAAGAAAGTAAATTAGAAGATACGTTTTGAGTTAGCAATGGAGATTGAGTAAGCTTATGATGTATAAAACACCATTTTCTATCCACGTACTTTTCAGTATCATTGACAAGCTGTATGAAATATCCATAGATTCTATAATTTTTTCACGATCCATTTTGCAATTTGACCTCTGCTCTGATCTAATCCAGAGAAGATATCATTGATTGCTCATAAACTGTTTTCTATTTCCCATTGTTTGCCCATTAGTGTATGCAACCGTAATTGTGACGCCCTACCAATATTCCACATCGAAAAATCGATAGAGTTTAAGAGGGCCGCAACATTGGGTAGCCAATTTTGACAGTGGATTGAGCCAAACTACGTGTTGCGTCAATAAGAGTTTAATGAAACATACCCAAAGTAAAGTGCATGGATACAAAATCGCAGTTTATGTTATGAGTTCCGAGCAACGATTATCAAATGAGACACGGCTGATACCTTTTGTCGACGTTATTATTAAGCACAATAGTATCAGTTTTCATTCACAACAATTTTTTTTGGGTGCAGATAATTCACAAACAATTAATTACATAACATACGGTACCGCTTTACACACATTGGTCAGAAGCTTTCAACCATTTTACACAACTAATTCGATACTTTTCATCTTCGCCAATCGCTGTTCAATCTCATACGTATGTTTTTTATTTTGATCAGGGAGCCATCTCCTGTGAGCACTCAGGAGGAAACCCCTGCCCAAACCTTTTGGTGTCGGTGCAGTAGTTATAAATCATGTAGTTTTTACGGACCCACCTGAGCTTTTGGGCTCCACCGGCATCCAAAGATTGCGCCCACCAAGTTCCCTTTGATGCTGAGCAAGCACTGCGGCCAGATGACCAGACGCACGCGTCAGCACGAAAGTTTCTGTAGGACGCAACGAAGGGGGCCTGGCTCCAGTCGGTCTTCACCAGTCCTCCACGAGTCGCCCAGTCCTCGGCGTCCCAGAGACTGGAGTAGAGGCGCATCGGCTGGGATTTTGGGTATGGTACTCCTGCGGATGATTCAATGTTGCGGAATTCTCGGATTGGGGTGCCATCCACATAGAAGCTGCATGCGCGTGCGCGTTAGTTATATTAAAGTATCGAATACTAACATGCGGGTGCGCGTTTATATTCTTGCTTTTTTCTTGTAAAAATGAAGCTAACAGGAATGCAATTTAGGAAGTTTGAAGGTGTGATTTAAAACATATTGAAGTCTTAGATGCTAAGGGACCCCAAATAGGGGACATGTGAGGTGTCCTCCCCTGAATGCATGGTGTACTGTTTATGAACAGTGCACCATGCATTCAGGGGAGGACACCTCACCTATCCCGAACACCAGTACGTAGTTTGGAGCGTTATCGCAACGGCTTTTAACCCCAAGTAGGAATATATCAAGCATATTCATGTTTTTTCTTGTAAAAATGAAGCTAACAGGAATGCAATTTAGAAAGTTTGAAGGTGTGATTTAAACCATATTAAAGTCTTAGATGCTAAGGGCCCCAAATAGGGGAAAGGTGAGGTTTCCTCCCATGAATGCATGCTGTATTGTTCATGAACAGTGCATCATGCATTCAGGGGGGCACCTCACCTGTCCCTCTCTTGCTTGGGTCTGGGGTCACTTAAGCAGCATCTATATTGATATATAGGGTTCTGTTTGTCCGACTAACATGATCTGCTGCGGGTTCCAGAGTATGGAGTATGTGTGAAAGTCTGCTCTGGGATCAAACCACAGATAAAACTGCTGCTCTCTATTCCCCTTCCCCTGTGAAAACACGTTGGTGTGGAGTATGTACGGCTCTCCAGTGACGTTCCCCAAAAACTCGAAATCTATCTCATCATGGGTGGGGCCTTGAGATGACAACTGGAAATATTACATACAAAGCAAAACACGCTGTATGAGATTGAAAAACCCCCTGCAAAATCTTAGAAAAAAAACCCATGATGTTATGTTGTGGGGATTTTACGTAATACGTCGTGACTGTGCCAGCTGAATTTCCAAGGACGAGCTTGATATCCATGTCGACCCTTCCATAGAGGTATTCTGCCCGAGACCGGAAGCCCGAGCCCGAACCCCTGTCAAGGCTGAGCTGGAGGAGGTTTCCGTTCAAGAATTTCCCCCTCCCGGCACCCCAAGAGATGTCAATGTCGGTGTTGAAGTCGGCTGAAGCAACGGCGACGACCAAGGCGAGAAAAAGGACTTGGAGAATTTGGCCGTTGGACATAGCCGCAGGTTGAGGGGGAGAAGAGAGAAGAAAGGGTAGGTGTTTGATTTGTGTGAAGGGAGGGAATGAACATTTGGGGGGTTTATATAGAGGGGGGCTAAACTAAGGGAGTAGGGGATGCTTAATATTTCCGGTGGGCAGAAAATATTTGAGGTGTGTCCTTGATGGAAAATCATATAAAGAGAAATGAAAGAAAAAAAAATTCTAAACAAACCCATTTATATTTTTTTTCTAAAACTAGACCCCATTGAGTTACTTTTACAAAAATCGATCTATTTTGTCTTAATCCGGTTTCTAAATAGTCGGGGTTGCCAACCCCGACTATTTAGTGCATAAAATGTTAGAGTCTAGGGTTATAACTGTGGGTTTACAACCTTCTAAATAGTCAATTCGGGGTTGGCAACCCCGACTATTTAGGAACCAGATTAAGATAAAATGAGCATATGTTTGTAAATAAAACTTAAGTGAGTCTATTTTAAAAAGAAAAAAATATGAATGGGTTTATTCAGAAAATTTCTTCTAAATGAAATCTTGCACAGGTTTTGGAGTGGTTGTTGCATTGATGCACTGTAAGCTGTAATGATAGTAATTGGACTTAGAGTGGAATTGGCATCAGTACACTCGTCACCGTCTCCTTCCTTTCCATATGATTTTTGTTTTATTTTCCCATTTTGGTGGGGTCACATTTTGCTGGGCTGGCAAATGACTGTATAGTATCTGTCTCTAGCTCGCCATCTCCCATTTTAATTAATTGGTTGACCCCCTCTTAATTAAGTCCTCCTAATAGGACCAATTAGAAAAATCTCCCGTGCTTCACGTCTCTTCTCCTTTCGCTTTTTTTGCTACACGCCTTTGAGCTGTTTAATTTCCATCTAGAAGTTGTATATAATTTTGTTTGGTGCTCATATCTTTCGAGTGGTCTTTCTCCTTACGGTCCCCTTGATAGCTAGAGTTTGTTTGTTTTCTTTCTTAAGCTTTTTAATTAAAGGTGTTTTTTTCTTAATGGAGCTAGGCCCATCCTTGATCAACTGTGTTTAATTAATCCTTATCTAAAGTGGTAGCATCTACAGCTACATTGATATGATGTAAACTGGCGCTTTGCGTGGTCATTTCTCTATCGGTTAAGTAGGCATTTCGCACTAATATCTCTGTCTCCTGATTATTACCATGGAAAACACCTTTATAATCAATTATAGCAGTTGAAAAAAATGCATGCAAAATTTGAAGGTATTCATGCTCAAACTGAATCAAATGTACGACTTTAACCAATGGAATGTTCCAAAGTTCTTCAAGGAGATTGAATCTAAATCATACTCACTTTAAAAGTATGAGTTGAGGAAAAAAATCTTTCCATAGTCGATCAATATATTACCCTTCACTATTTTGAATATTCCATTTAAATCTTAATATATCCTAATCATAATTAGATCGTATCCTAACCCATATGAACTACCTACAACACAACTATTTAAAAAATTAAGTTTTAATAAACTATAAGAAACAAGTCCATGGTACTAGCTTGTTAAGATAAAAGACTAGCTAACATGTTATAATATATGAAGTATTACAAAATAACTCAAAAAGATTTAAAAATTGTTTCTTATAGTTTATTAAAACTTAATTTTTTACTAATCAAAACAAATTTTAGTAAAAAAAAATAAAACAAAAATACGTAATCATAATTTTTAACCACATGAATTATGCGTGGAAAAAAAACCTAATAAACAATAAAAATACAAGCCCTGCAGTAATTTCTATGCTTCTTTGATGAATAAAGCTTGACATGTCGAAGGGACTGCACGTAATGAGAAATGCAGAAGCACATGCAACTATATATTTATTGTCTGCTACTCAATTAAATTGCTTCGACTCGGACCGCTACAGTTGACCGGTGCCCATCTTTGTAAGAGTTGTTTAATGGAAAAGAGTCCTCTAAAAGGCGCATATAAAATATTATATCAATTCAATCAAAATATTTTATAAATACAATAAACTTTAAAACTGGTTCATACAATTTTGTATCAACATGTAATTATAAGCTTAACTTTGCAAATAAGAGAGAAACTAGTTCCTTTCTAAGCTAGTTCAGAAGTAAACCGTGATAGAGGGTGGATTAAAAAAAAAACTAGCGGAAGGCCAAAATTTAAAACTAAATCAGGATCAAGCTTTTCCCCGTTGACTAATATTATCTCTAGTCTCCTTACGATTAAAATATTGTATCAATATAACCATCTGGCTAGCTTTAAAATCCGTGCTGGACACTTGTCGCAATCTTATTACTTTGCAGGACTCCATCCCCCACCACCACAAGTTGTTCAGGGAACTGTGGAGTGCCCTTTGCCGAGTCAGCCTATAGGATGGAGCTGAGCCTAGGGGATGATTTGGTGCGGAGTCCTAGTCATACTATTGGGCTCCTTCAAGTTTCAGAATTGACAGGTATCTGAGCACGGGCCCACCAAAAGCCCACGCTCGCGCTAAGAGCGGAAGCCAGTAGTTAGCTGGATCCAGCTTCTCGTGGGTTGTCGTTCTCGTCTCCGAGTCTACTGCATGGCTTGGGTTAGTTACGATACTGAGCAAATGATCGGATAGTCTTTTCCTCGTCTTCTTGTGTTATGAATAATTTTGTGACTTTCTGAGGTCCGAGCTATTTCCTTCATCCCCACATCATGCCACGCGTATGCAGCTAAAACGCTATAGTTTTTTTTCCCTCGGTTTTGTTGGCTCTTTCTGTTGATCTTTCCTTAATTTTTGGCCAATGTGCCGTTTTCATGAACTGTTGCTCTGCAGAGAGAGAGAGAGAGAGAGAGAGAGAGAGAGAGAGTGAATGAGACTGAACTGAAGATTTGCTGAAAAAACAATTAATCAAGTATGAGATTGGAAGCTCGTAAAGGTTGGCAAATTTGATAAATCCGGTGTATACAAGCACAACCACTTTCAACATGCCGTTGGGTATCAACTCAAACTCCAGGTCAGTCGTGGGTTTGAAGGCTATGCTCAATCCTAGTAGTTTTCTTAGAGCTCAAGTTAACGTGTTGGGCAAGTCAGGGGTGTCTTTAAATAACGCGTCATATTCTAGGGTTTTAGAGTAAGGAGAATGAGAGAGACAATATTCTTATAATCAGTATTTTTGAGGGTGTAGCTGGGTTCAAGGGTATTGTGAGAGAGAGGTGAAGAATACCGCGAGACCTGCGCGGTCGACCGTCGCGGTCGACCGTCGATGTTTCTGGGCTGGGCTTCAGTTTTTTGACCCGATTCGTTTTGTAAGTTATATATATCCCTAAACCTGATTTGTTAGGGTTAAGCAAGGACGAATTTGAGCAGTCTTTGAGAGAGAATTATTGCTTCCAATTGTGGGAGAGTTGTGAGAGATCAAGAGCTTTGTTTTAGGGTTTGATCTGAGGGATTTGTAATCCTACTTGTATTCTCTGATTTCTAATAGTAAGAACTCCCCCCTCCTTGCCCCGTGGACGTAGGCAACTTGCCGAACCACGTAAATATCTTGTTCTTGTTGTGATTGTGGTTTGCATATTATTTATGGTTTAGTTCGAGTTATTGTTCGTGTTGCCCAAGAAAGCTTCCGCCGCGCACAACAATTGGTATCAGAGCCAGGTTGACAACATGGGAGATGCAAGCACGTCAGGTTCGTCTCTTACAAAGGCGATACAGAGTCTGAGCATCAATAACACAAAGATTGATGTTCCGAAGTTCGACGGCAAGATCAATTTTGGATTGTGGAGGTGTCAGGTGATGGATGCTTTGGATGCACAGAATTTGGAGGAGACTCTTGAGTTAAAAGAGAAACCCGCAGAGTTGGAGGATAAGGTTTGGAGAAAGATGAATAGTAGAGCTTGTGGTGTTATTAGGTCATGCTTGACGCCGGATCTTATTTATGATGTTATGAACGCGACGTCGGCGAAGAAGATGTGGGAAACACTCAATGAGAAATATCTTACGAAGAGCATTGAGAATCGGCTTTACTTGAAGAAGAGATTTTACCAGTTCAAGATAAAGAGGGGAGTTTCCATCAGAGAGCATGTCAACAACTTCACTAAGCTACTTTCAGATATGGCCAATGTTGATATTATAGTTGAGGATGAAGACAAGGCGATGCTACTTCTGTGTTCGTTGCCCGAAGATGATTATGGTACGTTCGTTCTCACTATGATCAATGGAAGAACTACAGTCAGCTACAAGGAGGTGACCTCAGCTTTGGTGAACTATGAGTTGAGGAAGAGTGATAGTGAACCATCCAAAAAGGCATCGGGAGATGCGTTAGCAGTTCGAGGCCGAGATCCAAACCGTCGCCAATTCAACCGCTCAAAATCAAGGAATAGGAGTGCCTATAAGAGTGTTGGTAGAAATCAATATCGGTATTATAAAGAATAAGGACATTGGAAGATTGACTGCCCAAAGTGGAAAGAAAAAAGCCGGGAAGAATAAGGGAAAAATTGCTCAAGCTTCAGAAGTGAATGTTGCAAAAGCTATTGGTGAGCATTTAGATTCAGATTCTTCAGGCTATTCATGCCCTGCATTACCGTCGGTTTGCTATGCGGATTCCACAGAGTGGATGATGGATTCGGGAGCTACATATCACATCTGCCCTAAGAGGGAGTGGTTTTCTAGCTTTGAGGAGCTGGAAAGAGGGGATGTCGTGCTTATGGGTAATGATCACGTATGTCCTATTGATGGTATTGGTTCAGTCCGAATTAGGATGCATGATGGTGTAGTGAGGGAATTGAAGGAAGTGAGGTTTGTGCCACAGTTGACGAAGAACATCATTTCTCTTGGGACTTTGGAGGCAGCAGGATATCGAGTGATCTTAGAGGATGCTACAGTGAAGGTCACGAAGGGTTCTATGGTGGTGATGCGAGGTGTCAGGGAAAACAACCTATACTACTTGAAGGGCAAGACAATTACAGGGGGTCTGGCAGCTTCTATCACTACAGAGGAGGACACTACCACCTTATGGCACATGAGACTTGGACACACAGGTGATAAGTCTTTACAGTCATTGGCAAAACATGGGCTATTGAAAAGTGCTAAGACCTGCAAGATGGAGCTGTGTG